CTCTCACTGTCTGTGACTCTGTCTCTCAAATAAATAAATAAAATCTTCAAAAAAAAAAAAGTTGACTATAGGCTCCTACAGAAAATTGTGGTATCGTTTTTAATTGCCACTGAATTCTCAGTGAATGACAGCACACATTCTCTAGTTCCTGCCTAGGATGCTCTGGGTACAATCTCTTTTAAAACCTATCCTGCCTCTCCACTCTTCCCAGCAGAAGTTACCTTGCGGCTTTGATGGAGAACACGGATGTCGCCTGTCTGACTGCTCTCCATTTCTTGCCGTGCCAAGTTTTGCCCACCGTGGACTTCAACTCCATGTTTCCAGGCCCAAGAAACAGCAGTCCCTAGGAGGCTCATCTCTTCCCCCTCACTCCAGCTTCCAGCCTGCTCATGTCCTTAGAGCCCCTGCATCTTCAACTCTACCTCCCTACCTGTGGGTGCCACCTCCATTGGTTCCTTCACCTCATCTTTTCCAAAGCTCTTCCAAGTCTACTTCCTGAGACGTCAGTGCCCTCTTGCCTTTCCCTCCTGGCCACGTCTCTTGGCAAGGAGCCCTAGCTCACTGTCCTTACTGCCCTCACCTCTCACTGGCTCACTGGTTGGACTTCCTGGAAACCATTCCTTCTAACTCCTCACCAGCAGCCACCTAACAACCACACTCACAGGGCTGCTTCTCTGCTCCGGTCTTATTCCTACTCTCTGACCAGCTGGTCACGCTCTTCCCTCGAAATGGGCTCCTCATACTGCCAGCACCCAGAGGCTGCAGCGCACACGCTCTTCCAAGCTTGACTTCCTGCAGAACTCTCCTGGGGCTCCCAGAGTCGTGGGCTCGCTTCTTTGATATTCTGACCCTGCAGGATCTCTGTGGGTAATAATCTCCATGATCAGGGCTTTAGCTACCTTATTGCTGATAACGCAAATTGCCCCCTCTCCATCTCTGATCTGTCTCCCCCTCCTCCTGTCTCTCTCCTTTTCCCCATGGCACTGTCATTCAACTTCCTACTTCCTTCCCTGGACAGCTCACTGATCTGCCTACACTTGTTACTTTCCCCTATCATCCTCCATAAGGCACCAGAGTAATCTTTTCAACAGTAAAACAACATGCCATTTCACTTCTGAAATCCTTCCACATCCCCACACCTGTAGAACAAGCTTACCAATTTCTTAACTAGAATATTACATTTGCATCTGGCCTGTCTTGCTTTTTAAGTCTGATCTCATACTGTTCTTCTCCAAGTACCTCTGCTTGACACCTGTTGGGAATTCTCTGAAAATTCCATGTTTCTTATTAGGTGAGCTTCTTAATTTTCGAGGCCCAATGCAAAGCCTCTTGTCAAGAAATCATTAAGAAATCCAAGGCGTGACAGCACAGCATTGAGTGCAGAGCCCCTGTGAGCAGAGGACCCTGCACCTGCAGAGCTCTCTCACCCACGCAGCCACTTTGCTTCTCCTGCATGGTTTTTTGTGAATTCTATTCTACTTGAAATGACCTTTCCTACATTCTCTGACTGGCAAACTTCTAGTTACTCTTACCGGACCAGTGCAGGTAGTTCTTAACTTTTTAAGGTGGTCACTAGTTCTTTAACAATATGTTGAGGAAGGCCAGCGCCGCGGCTCAATAGGCTAATCCTCTGCCTGCGGCGCCGGCACACCGAGTTCTAGTCCCGGTCGAGGCACCAGATTCTGTCCGGGTTGCCCCTCTTCCAGGCCAGCCCTCTGCTGTGGCCAGGGAGTGCAGTGGAGGATGGCCCAAGTGCTTGGGCCCTGCACCCCATGGGAGACCAGGAGAAGCACCTGGCTCCTGCCATCGGATCAGCACGGTGTGCCGGCCGCAGCGCGCTGGCTGCGGCGGCCACTGGAGGGTGAACCAATGGCAAAGGAAGACCTTTCTCTCTGTCTCTCTCTCTCACTGTCCACTCTGCCTGTCAAAAAAAAAAAAAAAAAAAAAAAAGAATATGTTGAGGGGCTGGCCTTGTGACATAGCGGGTTTGGTCACTGCCTGCAATGCCAGAATCTCATAAGGATGCCGGGTCGGGTCCCAGCTGCTCTATTTCCGATCCAGCTTCCTGCTAATGTGCCTGAGAGGGCAGTGGAAGATGGCCCAAGTGTTTGGGCTCCTGCCACCCACGTGGGAGACCCAAATGGAGTTCTAGGCTCCTGGCTTTGACCTGGCTGTTAAGGCCATTTGGAGAATGAACCAAAAGATGGAAGATCTCTCTCCTTCCCTCTCCCTCTGTAACTGTGCCTTTTGAATAAATAAATAAATAAATCTTAAAAGAAGAAGAAGAAGAAGAAGAAGAGGAAGAGGAAGAGGAAGAGGAAGAGGAAGAGGAAGAGGAAGAGGAAGAAGAAGAAGAAGAAGAAGAAGAAGAAGAAGAAGAAGAAGAAGAAGAAGGAGGAGAGAGATTCGTTGCACTGTCCCTACTAGGATTTTCTGGTCCTTCCTAGGAGCGGGCAAAGCACCGCTTCCTCTCTGGGGCCTCCTCCATCCCCCTGTTGGTACTGCAATGGTTACAGGTGACTTCTTGAGGTCCCACCATCTGTATTAGACATACTGTACCTTGACTCACTAGATATTTTGTCACCATTTTCACAGAAGAGGATCTGAGGTTCAGAGCAGGCCTTTTCCGGGAGAGCAGCTCTCTCCAGCCACCTGCCCCTCGGTCACTCTCCTCCTTCTGGAGTTCACCTTTCACACTGAGTTCAAGAAACTGCAGAGGTGCTATTCTGCTCATCCCTGCACTACCCGAGCCTCTTCCACAGAATCCCCACTAGGTGAATGTTAAATGAATGAGTATATGACTCTATCCCACAGCTTCTTCTTGTGGGCACAGCCCAGAAAGTACATGGTATTCACTGATTATTATTTGAGAAACACAGTAATTGCCTGCACAAAAGATGCCACATCCCTATCCCTAGGATTCTCGTAAACTTGAACTAGCAGGGAGCAACTGCCCACTGAGAACTTTGAGTCAAACTGCTCTACCCCGACTCTGGGTTCCCAAGTCCGAGCATCTGTTTCACTCCCCTAGAGAATCTTCTACTTATCTGTGGGCCGCCAGCTCTTACATCTGTTCTTCAGGTGTTTCTGATAAGATGTTAGTGGTTTTCTAAAAACACAGATTCCAATCACTTTGGGCGAATATTTACTCAGTAAACATAAATACACTTTGGGGTTTAGGTGAGTGATTAAATATCTTGATATTCAGATTTAAATGACTTAACAATGTTGGATTCTTGGCTGACTTTTTTAAAAGTTTATTTATTTGAAAGGTAGAGTGACAGAGAGAGAGAAAAAAAACATATCTTCATTTTGCTGGTCCATTCCCCAAATGCCTGTAACAGCTGGGGCTGGGCCAGGCTGAAGTCAAGACAAGAACTCCAACCGGGTTCCAATGCTGGAGGCAGGGTCCCAGGTACTCAGGCCTTCACCTACTGCCTCCCAGGATGTGCATTAGCAGGAAGCTGGATTGTAAGTAGAGGAGGGACTTGAACCCAGACACTCCTATATGTGATGCAGGCATCCCAACCAAGAGTTTAACCTGCTGTACTACTTACCCTTTTTTCCATTTGTATGTGAATGCCTAGCACTATGGGAAATATTCTACAGATGGAATTAGAATTGATTCTGCTTTTCAGTAGTGAGCACTTAGCCCAGTGGTTGAGATGCTCACGTCCTACAAGAGTGCCTGGATTTGGAGCACCTAGATTTTATTTCTGACTCCAGCTTCCCACTAACGCAGTCCCTGCGAGGCAGCATGAGGAGCAGTGACGACTCAATGATCAGATCCCTGGCCTCCTTGTGGGAGACCTGGATTGCTTCCCCTGCCCCAGCCCAGCCCAGCCCAGCTACTGAGGGTATTTGGAGAATATAACAGCAGATAAGACCTCTCTGTCTGCTTCTCAAATACATTGTAAAAGTAATTATTAGGCTGGCGCCGCGGCTCACTAGGCTAATCCTCCGCCTAGCGGCGCCAGCACACCGGGTTCTAGTCCCGGTTGGGGCGCCGGATTCTGTCCCGGTTGCCCCTCTTCCAGCCCAGCTCTCTGCTGTGGCCAGGGAGTACAGTGGAGGATGGCCCAAGTGCTTGGGCCCTGCACCCCATGGGAGACCAGGAGAAGCACCTGGCTCCTGCCTTCAGATCAGCGCGGTGTGCCGGCCGCAGTGCGCCGACCGCGGCAGCCATTGGAGGGTGAACCAACAGCAAAAGAAGACCTTTCTCTCTGTCTCTTTCTCTCACTGTCCACTCTGCCTGTCAAAAAAAAAAAAAAAAAGTAATTATTAAGGGGCTGGTGTTGTGGTGTAAGGGTTAAGCCTCTTCCTGTGATGCCAGCATCCCATATGTGTGTTGGTTCAAGTTCCAACTACTCCACTTCTGATCCAGCTCCCTGCTGATGTGCCTGAGAAAGCAGCAGAGCATGGCCCAAGTGCTTGGGCCCCTATGCCCACATGGGAGACATAGAAGAATCTCTTGGCTCCTGGTTTCGGTCTGGCCATTGCAGCTATTTCAGGAGTGAACCTGCAGATTGAAGATATCTATCTCTCTATCTCTCTGTCTCTCTCTCTGTAACTCTGCCTTTCAAATAAATAAAATAAATCTTCAAAAAAATTCTTTTTTAATTTTTAAAGAAATGATATTTTTCAGCTCAGGAAAACATTTAAACTTTTGGAAATGATTATGTTTTTCAGTTTTCATTGAACTGCTACTTGGGCTATTTGATCTGTCCCTGATGTAGCTGACTTTGGCATATCTACTCCGGTTCTGAGATCCAGGAAGAGAATAACAAGCAACCCTCAAATTCTTGTGAAGCCAATGATTTCATCCCCCTCCCCGAGACTTGAAAATCCAACCCCCTATTTGAGTTTTCCTAGATGCCGTGATTGAACAAAGTCCCCGAGGCAGTGCTGGGGTCCCAGGCCTGACCCAGCTTTGAGGACCCTGCAGTTAGACTGTCTGGGACAGCCACCTGCGGTATTAGTCCTTTCCAGGACAAACTCACCGTCAGGGAGGACTGAGCCATGAGCGATGGAAGGGTTGGTGCACAATGTGAAGGCCAGCTTTTCTTCTTTTGGAAGCTGCATCCTCTGTGGTCAGCAGTAACAAAGGCAAGACCAAGACATCTGCTATCCTTTCTTCCTAGCAGGGAACTGTCCAAAAGAAAACAAAAACAAAAACAAAAACAAGTTGTTGGGGGGTGTGTGTGTGGTGCATTTTGGAAACTTTTTGTTAAGTTTTCAACAATTTTTTAAAGGTTTTTTTTTATTATTATTATTTTTTGACAGGCAGAGTGGACAGTGAGAGAGAGACAGAGAGAAAGGTCTTCCTTTGCCGTTGGTTCACCCTCCAATGGCCGCCGCGGCTGGCGTGCTGCGGCCGGCGCACCGCGCTGATCCGATGGCAGGAGCCAGGAACCAGGTGCTTCTCCTGGTCTCCCATGGGGTGCAGGGCCCAAGCACCTGGGCCATCCTCCACTGCACTCCCTGGCCACAGCAGAGAGCTGGCCTGGAAGAGGGGCAACCGGGACAGAATCCAGCGCCCCAACCAGGACTAGACTTTTGAAAGGTTTTACATAGAGTCAAACATGACAAAATACTAATAAAAAGCTCCAGTATACCTCTTTCCAAATACTATGCTAAGGAGTTCAACAAATATTTTCCATTCTTGTAATAACCCACGAAATGAGTTTTAGATTTACTATTCATATTTTATGGAGGAAACCAAGACAGTAGGTTAAGTAATTTATTCAGAATCACATGATAAGCAAGGGGAGTTGCTGGGTTTACAGGCTCTATTTGGTCTCAGTCTTCCTCCCCTTAAGTATGATTTACTGGCTCCTAGTTGTAGAAAGAACCACTTCACTCACATCGCACTGCAGAGCAGTGCCCCCCATGTTCCATTTCCCCCTTCTCCACTAAAGCCATCCTGCCAACCAAGGCCGGGTCAACTTTTCTTCCTCTATTGCTTTAATTCGGTCACCACCTGCTCGAACCACTTCCTGTAGCCCACAGGAAGTTCAGCCGGCTTCTTCACCAGGCCCCCGTGCCTATCTTACAGAACAGCCCTTCTCTGGCCTCTGCAGCCTGCAGTTGAGACGTAAGAGACGGCAGTGCACTGGAAGGAAGGAGATAAATATTTTCCAGTAGGAACAATGATGCTTTCTTGTCTTGCAGATCAAATGCTTGGGAATTTTTCATTTTTCATTCCTAGGGAAAGGCAGCTTACTTAAATGCTTCTGAAGAGAAACAAAATCCTAGAATTTAAGTTTACATTTTCCTCAACAGCCGTGATGATCTGAAGTTCACACATTCCATCTGAGTGCCTACTTGTTCATCCCATCTCTCCTTCCCAATTTTGTTTATACTGTTGTTAGGTTTTTGTTAAGCAAAAAAGAAAAGTCCGCTAAAATTTTTTGACTTGATTTCACAAAATTATTTATTTACTTTTTTTTTTTCATTTTATTTGAAAGGCAGAGAGATGGAAAGAGAAAAACAGAGGTACAGAGATGGAAAGAGAAAAACAGAGGTACAGAGATCCTCCACCTGCTGGTTTACTACTTAAATATATGCAACAGCCAGGGCTGGGCCGGTTGAAGCCAGCAGCCAGGAACTACACTGGAGTCTCACTTGGGTGGGAGGGACCCAAGCATTTGGATCAACCTGCTACCTTTCATCAGAGGTGCAGTAGCTAGAACTTGAACCAAGCACTCTGGTATGGGGGGTGGGCATCCCCAGTGGCAACTTAACCTCTGAGTCTGCCCCTTGACTTGGCTTCTAAATTTAATTCACAAATCAAAACAAATGAAAAAAATTTTTAAAAAGATCTCATGAGCAAAAATCAGGAGAAAGAAGGTACAGACTTTGAATGAATTTATATAAAACCTCACGAATATTTTCTACCTTCTACAATAAAGTATTATGGGCAATATTTTAGGGACTGGTATTGTGGCTTAGTAGGTTAAGCTGCCACCTGTGATACTGGCATCTCATATGAATGCTAGTTCTAGTCCCAGCTGTTCCACTTCCAATCCAGCTCCCTACTAATGCACCTGGGAAAGAAGCAGAAGATGACCAAAATACTTGGGCCCCTGCCACTCACTTAGGGAGACCTGAATGGAGTTCCAGGCTTCAGGCTCTGGGCTTTGGCCTGGCTGAGCCCCAGCCTTTGAAGCCATTTGGGGAGTGAACTAGCAGATAGATTTCTCTCTCTGTCTCTCCCTCTCTGTGCAATTCTGCTTTTCAAATACATTTTTTGAAAATCTAAAAAAAAAAAAAAAGGTAATATTTTAAACAAAGAGAATATCAATGACACTCTCCATATCTTAAATTACTAATGGTGGCCAACGTACAATTCAATTCTCTTTGCCATCTGTTGCTTGCTAGAAACTTTAGTGTGTTTTCCAAGGAAATTCTAACGAGAGATTCCTCTAAAAACAAGAAGAATTAGAAAAAGAGAAGGAAGAGGACAAAGAAGAACAACAAGGAGAAGAAGGAGAAGAAGAAGGGGGAGAAAGGAAAAAAAGAGCAAAAAGTCTTGGAGCAAGTGTGTCGCCCAGCTGCTGGGGCCTTGCCTCCCACACTGGAGGGCCTGAGTTCAATTCGTGGCTCTGGCTCTGACTCCAGCTTCCTGCTAATACAAACCCAGAAAGGTACTGGTGATGGCTCAACTTCCTGCCATGCACATGTGAGACTTGGATTGAGTTCCCAGTTTCCTGCTCTGGCCTAGCCCAGCCCTGGCTATTTAGGGCATATGGGGAATAAACCAAAAGATGGTAGATCTCTCTCTCTCTGTCTCTCACATTTAAAAATTACCAATAAAAAAACTTATTTTTTTTGCAGGATATACATACTAACATTTTTCTTGTCTGATTCTATCCAATTTCTTGATGGTGTTTTGATTGAAGATTTATTAGGAGAGCTTCACAATTTGAACAAATACACTGAAAATGCTCTTCCTGTTGAACAAGAGGTATGAGGAAATAAGTCAATGTTTTTTTGTTTGCTATGTAATGATTCAACCAGTTTTCTCTAATTGGTACTAAGCTATCTTACCAGTAATCTCTACTTTAAAAATTTGACTTGTGGGACTGATGCTGTGGTGTAGTGGGTAAAGCCACTGCCAGCAGTGCTGGCATTCCATATAGGTGAGGGTTCCAGTTCCAGCTGCTTCACTTCTAATCCAGCTCTCTGCTACATACAGCCTGGGAAAGCAGTGGAAGATGGCCCAAGTCTAAGGCCCATGTGTGGCAGAATGAGAAGGCCATGCCAAGATGGCCACTGGCAAGCATGCGTCAGTTACTCAGGAATGGCTTCAAAACCCACCTGGCAACAGAGCCTGCCTGGCAACAGGCTGTGATTGGTTAGGGCATAAACCACCCCTTGACCGGATTGGCTGCCTTGGCTATTTAAGCTGCTGTACCAACTGAAATAAATGAGTCTGCAGGCTGCTCGGCTCTGGCCTGCTTTCACTCGACTCCGGGGATCTGTGTGGTGATTCCACGCCTCTTGTGCCCACCATGCTCCTCCTCTCAGAACGAATCCACAGCAACACCCAAGCACCTACATGGGAGACCCAGAAGTTCCTGGCTCTGGATCAGCCCCGTTCTGGCTGTTGCAGACATTTGGGGAGTGAAACAGTAGATGGAAGACTTCTTTCTTTGCCCCTGCCTCTCTGTAACTCTGCCTTTCAAATAAATAAATCTTTTTAAAAATGTTATTTGTTTGATAAGCAGAGGATTACAATTTCCAGCCCTCTGATGGGTTGTATCCCCGCCTCTGATTGGCTGTTATCACAGTCTCCTGACTGGTTGTTATTCTAGCCCTCTGATTGGTTATTAGCTGTAATTCTGTTCTCCTGATTGGTTAAATCTAGGTAGGCATTTTTGTTTATAAAGAGTCAGTGCCCCAGGCTTCTTCGGACAACTCCTCTCTTGCAGTCCTCTCACCTGACTGCTGCTGCAGGTGCCACCTGACTGCTGCTGCAGGTGCCTCCTCACTGCAATAAATCTTGCTTTGCTCACTGTCGCCATCAGCATGGAAATTATTTGACATGAGACAAGAACAGAGATCGCCTTGAGATTGCCTTCATGGTCTTGTAATACTGTCTTTGGGGCAGCTATCAGGTAGCTAGAAACTTGTCTAGAGACAGGAGAAAAGATTGGGTGGGACCCTGGAGTCAGGGCTTCTCTCCCTCCCTAAATATCTGTGTGACCTGAGGCTGGCCAACTTCGGGGCCTCATTTCCTCATCTGATTGAAAAAAAAAAAAAAAAAAAAAAAAGGTGGGTATAAGGGTTGGCTACCAGAGGATCAAGGATTCATGGCCCCCTGAGGTCAACCCAAGCACCACCCTTCCTCCCCAGGACCACCCCAGAACCCTCCTACATCCATCTGCCCCCAGGAATGTTTAAATCCAGGCTCCTTGGCTCCAGGGCCTTGCCAGAGCCAGGCTGTCCCAGGCAAGTCTGTCTTGTAGGCAGCAGACCACAGGGAGCACATCCCAGCCCCGCCTAGGATAAGCCCCTTTCTGCAACCCAGAGAAGCCATCAATGTTTAATTTCACTCACAATAACCTGAAACAGATTCAGACTGCGATGTGCAGCATCTCCCGGCACCACTCCTGCTTTGGAAAAAAAAAGACAAGAAAAAGAAATGTGCTTGCGTTCAGCTGCAATTTACTCAGCAGAGTGATTAATCAATTAATTATTCCATTCACTGAGCATTACTGAGTGTTTACCATATGCATCCTTGTACTACTGGAGTAGGAAGACGGAGTAGCCCAGGGCCAGCCTCAGCACCTGGCTTGGTGACCTGTGTCTCACCCCAACACCCACACACCCAGGGAGGTCTTCAGTGGCTCCCCACCCTACAGTTTGTCTTTCCCACATGAATTCTCTACACAGTCATCATTTTAAAGTGACAGTCTTCCTAAAGCCCTTGCTTAAAATTCTAAGCTTTCTCCCACCCTGAACGAAAAAGAACTTCTGAACAGGCACATAAGGCCTCCAGGGAGGGGTCTCAGTCACCCCTTCAGCCTTCCCTCCAGTTGCTCCTGGCTACAAACTTCCCCTAATGCTAACACCAAACTCTGAGCCATTCCCTGTCACAAAAATGCTGTTTCCCCTCTTCACCACTTAGCTTAGCCCCTTCCCTGTCTAAACTGCCAGCACTGACTTTAAGATCCCCCTCTGCCTGGGAAGCAGTAGAAGATGGCCCACGTCCTTGGGCCCCTGCACCCACAGGGGAGACCCAGAGGAAACTCCTGGCTTCCAGTCAGGTCCGCTCCGGCCGTTGCGATCATGTGGAGAGTGACCCAGCGGATGGAAGACCTTTCTCTCTGTCTCTCCCCCTCTCCATCTATAACTTTACCTCTCAAATAAATAAATAAATAAATCTAAACAAAACAAACAAAAAAAACCACATGCTCTCCCCCCCACATCTGCAGAGCTGCTCTGACCTCATTAACCCACCTCTGTCTATCTCTACTCTCTTACCCCATTGTATTACAATTATCTGCTTATTTTTGTGTCATCTCCACTCACTGCAATCCTGAGAAGGCTGTCCTTATTTATATTTGCAATTTCGGAGCCCGGCATGGGTAATTTTGAATTAAAGTGAACCTTCCATATGTGTTGGCAGACTGAATTAATTTGGGATGTGTAATTACATGTCTGTTCCTGTAAGGCCTTTGGGTTTGGAGAGGAGAAGGCAATATTCTACCCTCTGTATCCAGAAAACAAGCAGAGAAACTGAGATTTTAGAGTAGCAAGTGGGCCAGAAAGGCAAAGGAGCCTAGCCTAGTGCTTCCTTGCACCTCTCTTTTACAAGATGCTTGTTTGCCTTTCTAGTGCTATTGTATGCCCAGGCCAAATTGCTCTCTTTCTATTTTCTTTAAGGTTTTATTTAGATTCATATTTATTTAAAAGAGCAAGGGGCGGGGGTGGGGGGAGAAAGCTTTCATCTTCTGGTTCGCTTCCTAAATGCCCACAGCAGCTGAGGCTGGGCCAGATTGAAGCCAGAAGCCCAGAACTCAATCTGGGTCTCCCATGTGGGAGGCAGGGATCCATGCATTTGGGCCATCATCTGCCATCTCCCAGGGTGTGCATTATAAGGAAGCTAGATTAGAAGTGGAGTGGGAACTCAAGCCCAGGCACTGACAGGAAATGCAGACATCTTAACCTCTGTACCAGGTGCAGAAAAACTTATCAATTCTTCCTATTCTTCATTTAGGAAAAGAGCAGGAAGTGTTCTTTTCATCAATGCCCACTCTCTGCATTGTTAGGATTAAGTTAAAACAATGACCTTGGATCATTTAGCAGACTGTTTCGCCCACAGTGAGTGCTCAGTAAACGATGCTTTCACTGTCCTTGTTGTTAATGTTCTGTACTAGTGGTTTTGGGGTGGCTTTTCTCCAGGATGCAGATCTGAACTTCAGGGTTTCCAGGATTATAGGGATAACTGTCATCCCTGGGTTAGGAAGCCTGTTTGCCATGGGAGCTGTTGGCCTGCTTCCCAGAGCTCTTTTCCTGGGTGGAGCTATTGGAGAAATCATTGTGTGAATGGCTTCCTCATGTGATTGTCCCTGCTGGAAAGACCTTTTTGAGCTTAGGATTTGTCCAAGTGCTAATTAAAAGGGATGCCTTTGTTCCTTTGTTTGACAGTTGGATTCTGCTCTTCCTGGAGATCTCACTTTTACCATGTTAAGTAACACTGTCTTCTCTCTCCTGTCACACTCCATTTGGGATATTCAAATCTACCCTCACTGACTTCAAAACTTCCACTTGCCCCCTTGGATTTACATTTTCTGTGCTTTTTTTCTGCTTATGAATGTTACAGACATGGACAAGGGAGTCAGGTAAGAGGAAAACAAATGTAATTTTGGGGAAAGATTGTGTGGCTATCCCATTGTTTCCCAACCTTTACTATAGAAAGAAACAGGGTTAAAGTGTACATGGAAGGGAACAAAAATGGGAGCTGGCACTGTGGCATAGTGGGCAAAGCTGCTGCCTGTGACACTGGCATCCTAAATGGGCACCAATTTGAGTCCCATGGCTGCCCCACTTCCAATTCAGCTCCCTGCTAATAGCCTGGGAAAAGCAGCAAAAGATGTCCCAAATGCTTGGGCCCCCGCACCCACTTAGGAGACCTGGCTTTACCCTGGCTCAGCTTGGTCATGGAGACCATTTGGGGAGTGAACCAGCGGATAGAAGATCTCTCTCTCTCTGCAGTTGCCTTTCAAGCAAATAAATAAATCTTAAAAAAACAAAACAAAACAAAACAAAACAAAAACAACCTTTGTGTGGACATTGTAATCTCTTTTGGGTCAAGGAGCAGGAGTGGAATGGTGGTCACATATAATTGGTATATGCTTAATTAAAAAAAAAAAAAAAACACCAAACTGATATCCAAAGTGTTTGAACTATTTGCCAAGAGCAGTGGATGAGAATTGTAGTTCTTCCACAGCCTAATCAAAGCTTGCTATAATCAGTCCAGTTTAATCTTAGCCATTCTATTAAGTGTGCAGCGGTATCCCATTGTGGTTTTAATTTACATTTCTCTAATGGCCAATTATTTGGATGACATTGCACAGAATACTTGCCATCATATATCTTTTGCCCATCTTTGGATTATAAGAGATAAGAATTTGGAGCTAGTAGCACTGGTCATTGGTATCAAGACAGTTTTCTGTGGGGCTGACCATTGCGGCCACTTAGGGAGTGAACCAGTGGATGGATGATCGATCTCTCTGTCTCTGTCTCTTCCTTCTTTCTCTGTAGCTCTGCCTTTTAAATAAATTTAAACAACAAAAAAAAACAATTGATTTTTTTATACTGATACTGACTCCTATTATCTTGCGAAGTTATTAGTTCTTTTGGCTTTTTTGTAGCTTCTATCAGACTTTTTTTTTTTTTTTTTTTAGATTTATTTATTTATTTGAGAGGCAGAGTTACAGAGAGAGAGAGGGAAAGACAGAGAGGTCTTCCATCCACTGGTTCACTTCCCAAATGGCTGCACCAGTCTGAGCCTGGCAGATCTGAAGCCAGGAGCCAGGAGTTCTTCTGGGTCTCCCACATGAGTGTATGGCACCAAGCACTTGGGCCATCTTCCACTGCTCTCCCAGGCCATAAGCAGAGAGCTGGATTGGAAGAAGAGCAGCTGGGACAGGAACCTGGGATGCCAGCACCGCAGGTGGAGTGGCTTAACCTACTATGCCACAGTGCTAGCCCTCCATAAGACTTTCTACATAGATGATCATATCATCTACAAATAGATAGCTTTATTTTTTCTTTACTATTGTATTAGTCCATTTTCCACTATTGTAACAAAATACTCGAGGCAGGCTAACTTTATAAAGAAGAGACCTAGTTAGTTCACTACTTTGGAGACTGCAAATGTTCACAGCACAGCACTCTAGGGAGGGTCCGCTTGGTTCACCACCTCCTCACAGATGGCATGATGGTGGGAGCATGTGTCTGAAGACAGGAAGCCAGACTGCAAGACTGGGTATCATCATGCCTTCCAAGGGCATGCCTCCAGTTGACCTAAGGATCTTTCACTAGACTTCACCTCTAAATGTATCGCTACCTCTCACCTCACCACACTGGGAGACAAACCTTCAACACATGAAGCCTTATGGAACAAACTCAAACCATACCCACAGCAATGCTAACTACTACCTTCCTTTTATTTAGTTCTCGAGCCTTATTGCCCAGATCTAAAACACCCAGAACACTGTTGAATCGAAGTGGTGAAAGTAGGCATCCTTGCTTTGTTTCTGATCTTGGGGGAAATGCATTCAGTCTCTTACCATTAAGTAGGGTGTTTGTTATAGGTTCTACATAGATGCTCTTTTTCAGGTAGGAGAAGTACCCTTCTAGACCTAGTTTACTAAGAGTGTTTGTAAGGAATGGATGATGGATTTTGCCAAATGCTTTTTTTGCATTGATTGAGAAGATTTTTTTTTCTGTAAGTGTGTTAATAGAATTAATTCCATCGATTTGTGAAGGTTAAACCAATTTTGCACTCATAGGATAAACTCCACTTGGCCATGATGTATTCTTGGTTTTCTATATCAGTGTATTTGATTAAATAAGAAGTCTTGCATCTATGTTCATGAGAAATATTGTTAGTTTTCCTTCTTGTCATGTCTTTGTCTAGTTTTGATTACAGAGTAATGATGACCTCAAAAGAATGAGTTTGAATCTCTAGAAGAGTTTGTGTAGAGTTACTACAATTTATTTTTCTGACATTTCACATGATCCAGGAGTGAATATTGTAAGCATAGAAAAAAATTTGAAGATTTAAATGGGCCAAAAAGATTATAAGGCATATCCTTGCTAGCTCATGCTTTTAGACTATTTCAGCCTTTCTTTGTCTTTGGGTTGTTTTATAATTTGTAAATTGATAATATTACAAAAGATCCTTGTCCATAGAAGAATAAATTAATTGTGTCTGGAGGAAAACAATTTATTATTTCCCTGTGGATGGACCTATCTTACATTTATTGTAAACCATTTTATATCATTGCACATTTTCAACTTACCTTTTGAGTCATTTGAAAACATACTATTGTTTTCCCCATGTTAATAAGTTAAATAAAATCCTTGAAAAG